GCCCCCATTTCCTTTGGGGATGTGATGAGCCCGCAGGCCCTTAGGGTCTCCTCGGACAGCCATGAGCGCCTGAGTAAATGCATTTGTTAAGGAAGCTGTCTGGGCTTGGAGCGCATGGGCCAAGGTTTGAGATTGGTGTTGATTTGTTCCAACATCCTGGGAGGCCATGACCCACCAGCTGATCAAAGCATGTTTCAGACCCAAATAGGCAGCACCGTGGTCAGAGTTCATACCCTCCCACACCAGCACTCCAGTAAACTCGTCCCTGAGTGCCCTAGCGGGTAGCTTTCTAATAAGGCTCTTCTCCGCCCCATCCACAAATTCGGCAAGACCCTCCCCAGGCTTCTGCCTTAGGCCCACCAAGGGGTCCTCTGACAGTCCTTCATTGAGCTTCTTCCAGGCCGCCAGTACTGCCCACCTTACTTGGTCCCTATACGGGATGGGCAAGACCGCCTGCTGCGTCCCTGTGGAATACCCATCAGCGGTACCCACCAGTTGGCCGTAGGTAAGAGGGATTTGAGGGTTAACTGTGTGATTTTTGTTCTGCTATGATCCTACATTCCTCCTTACACAAGGCCAGCCATTTGATGATGAGGGGACTGGGGAGGACGGCCTTAGCCATATCAGTCCAACCCCTAGGGACACAGGGGTGGTGGGCAAGGTTCTCCAGTAAAGCCTCAGCCCAGTGAGTTGGCACCATCCTGGAGGACTGCTTGCCTTAGTTCCTTGAGGTCCTTAGCCTCCCACAGATACCAGTCTGCTGGCCTCTGCGGTCCTGGGACTAAGTTGACCGGGAACACCCTGCATGGGGTGGTGGACAGGCACTGCATCCCCACCAGAAAGGCGTCAGTGTACACTGGCTCTTCCAGAGGCTGAGGGGCCAAGGGGGGGCACCGCCCCTTCCCCTCCCCCCAGCGAAGAGGCTCATACTGATCAACCCACCGATAGGCTGGGGGTCCCCTGAGATCTTCGTCCTGGTGGGGGGGAATCCATCTCCTCAGGTTCGCACCTGGTACCCCCTTCCCCCCCTTTTTCTGGGGCCTCAACTGTCAACTGAACTTTAATATCCACTGCTAGCCGTCAACAGGGTCCCCTTGGGCCTGGCGCTCCTGTCTTTCTTTGTCAAACATGGCCAATCGTCCTCATTTTTCCTCGTTCTTCCCCCCACCTGCCTTTGCCTCCCCCCCTTTTCTTTTGCAAGTTGAGGGGAGGGAGGCGTCTCTGCGTGGAAGATGCCCTTAAGGGCGGCCATCATGGGATAGAACCCTAGTGGGGGTTCCACCCTGAAGTGCCTCTCCCATTCTCTCGCCAGCTTTTCAACCCTTTCCCACATGTCCCAGGAGAATAGGTTGGTCGTGGGGGCCCCCAAGAGAATTACTGTATCCCAAATGTGGTGTGCCAGTGGAGTCCGAAAGCTCCAGCCTGCCGCTTTTGAGCAAATATTGTAGGGTTTTCATGGCAGGCTCATTTCTTCCTAAAGTTGCATAACCCATACTAAGGGTCTCACTTACCCCGAGAGCCCAATTGGCCTCGACCGAAACTTTGCACTAGTTCCTCACGTGGGGCACCAGATGCCACAGTCTCCGAACCCCTTCATCTCGGGCAGAGGAACGAGAGGCCACAGCGATGGGGGTCGAGGAGGGGAAAGTGCGCTGCCCGCCGGTTTCACCAGCCCTTTCTCTCCAAGGACAATCAGACACGGCAGGGAGTCGCTTCAAGCAGGAAAACTCATTTATTGGCAAAGCTGATCAATATTTAAGGGCAAAAGTCTCAAGCATTACCATAGGCAAGAAAGCCGTCATCCAATCAGCTTAGAGGTCACGTATGCCACGCAGGCTCTTCTCATAGAATAACATATTGTTCACGAGGTGATCACACATCCTTTACTGGCTAGGCTACAATCAGTATTACTTCTCTTTTTGAGGCGCGTCAAGCTGGCCAGCTGGCTCCGCCTTCACCTCAGCTGTTCAGTGCCATCATGTTACCCACACCTCCACAGCCAGAGGGAAATGCATCAATTCAAAAACTTATTGAAAAATTACACATAAAATATCTCTACCTGAGTCCATCTATATAACTGAAGGCTACATAATAAGAAACAGTGCCAGACAGGAGAAACCTCCCTTCAAGTTGTTAGCCACAACAGTCCAAAAGACTCCCAAAATTATATAGGCTAGTGCCATAGCCCTTGAGTGTCTTCCAGAACTTGAAGGTAAGACCCTATTACTAAAGACGGGACATACCTCAGACACAGAACTTGGAGCAATGGGGCTGGAACTGACCTGGAAGCCACCTCCTTGAAGGCTAGCTCTCATAGTTTTGGAGAATACAATACAAGCTACTAAAGGAGAACATCAATTTATGGTCCAATCCAGTTTTAAGGGCTAATAACCACAACAGTGACTGGCATAGCAAACTATATTGGGGCAGTAGTGGCACTTTTAACTGGGGATAATCAACAGCTACCTAATTGGACCTAAAATCCACTCAATGGGAGAGAACTCATGTGTGTTGCTATAAACATGTGTAAACACATGGCTGATGAAGTCATAGATCTTAGAGAAAACCCCAAGGCTGTCACATTCCTCGACAAATGTAATTTATTATTATGTGCTCAATATGGATCCTTAAATTTACAAACAAGTATTCCAGTTACCACTTATCAAAGAAGCTTCTTTTGCAACAGATAGAGACAAGTACAGAGTTCCAAAACTGGTCACACACAGAAATGAAGTGTCTGTGAAATGCTCAACCCTAAGTGACACATGTACAATGAAACCTATACACCTAACACTCACAGGACATAGTGGAAAAGGGGGTAGAAAAAATATCAGTACATCTCTCAGCTCTCATCAACAAAGCTCCCTCATGCAACAGAGGGCAATGAACTCAGGGCTCAGGGACCATTGAAGAAAAAGGGGCAGAAAGACTGTAAGAGCCAGGGGAGGAGGTGAATGACCATGTGGAAATAGAGCCCTACAGACTCCTGGGACTTTGTTCATACGAACTTACAGCAAAGGTGGTAGTATGCACAAGACCCATGCAAACTCACACAGACAAAACCCAGCATAGAACTGTGGAATTGGGCAGCAGGCTCCAATCTTAGTCAAAGAACTATTGGGAAGCTGATTACTACTAGGTGAGGAAGAGCTGATGTTCTTTAAGGGAGTGACTCTAGATAGACTGACTAGACCCCAGTGGAGGAGCGTGCACTGAGTGACATGAATAAGCCCTAACCTAAACAGCAAAATGCATAAAATCCCGTGTGTGTGTGTGTGTGTGTGTGTGTGTGTGTGTGTGTGTATGGCGGGGGAGGTGGGGAGGTATGGGAGGTTGCCAATGGGAAAGGGGCATAAAGATGATTAAGATGTTGTATATGAAACACACAAAACTTCAATAAAACATATTTTGAAAAGAACATGAAAGTTCTGAGATGTGGTATCAATCAGCCTTTAGTTCAGGACACTGCTTTTCTTGGGTATTTTACGTCTGGATTGTCAACTTTATTTCTATCTGAAGAAATTGTTTATCTGAGAACATTTTGAGTAAATGTGAAATAAATAAAATGTGACTAAGGATTCCCCAACGTTTTAGTCATCCAAGTTCTCTCAAATCCTTGGAACAAAGACCAAAAATCAGCTGTGCCCTCTGTATTCTCAAATTTCTATCAAGACTAACTGATCCTGTGATCTCTGTAAAAAGGGAACAAGAATAACAACTCAGATGCAACTGGTCCATGGGAGTATACTGAAGACAGGTAATGAGGGTAACTAGGATTAAAGTACATTTAGCAAATAAAAGAAAAACTTTGCTAACATTCTAGTAAAGATCTTTTTTTAAAAAATAATGGAAGCAGACTGGGGCCATGGCTCACTTGGTAGAGTGCTTGCCTAGCATGCACAATCCCCAGATTTATGTATTTCAGTCCTCAGCACAGTACTGGGCCTGGTAGCACATACCTCTTAACCTAACATCTAGGAAGTAAAGGAAGTGGAGTCAGAAGTTCATGGTCACCTGCAAAGTGAGTTCAAGGTCGGCCTGGAATACACTGAGGCCAGTTTCGAAAAAGAAAGAAAGAAAGAGAGGGAGGGAGGGAAGAAGGAAGGGGAAGGAGAGAGAAGAAAGGAGGGAGAAGGAGGGAGGGAAAGAAGGAGAGAGGGAGGGAGAGAAGGAGGGAGGGAGGGAGGGAGACAGGGAGGGAGGGAAAAACATTTTTAAAGAGGGAGGGAGGGAGGAAGACAAGGATGGAGGGAGGGGAAAAAAAGAAAAACATTTTTCTAAGAGGGAGGGAGAGAGGGAGAGAGGGAGGGAGAGCGGGAAGGAGGGAAAAAAAGAAAAACATTTTTCTAAGACTACATAAATAAAAAGAAGATCTCAAAAAGCCCACAAGTTCCTCCCTGATTTCTAAACTCTCCTTTCTTTCCACAGAATTGACTTGTTTCCTTTACTGGAGATCTTGGATTAGAATACTCCCCAGAGAGATGTCACATTGAGGCAATATGGCTGGTCTGGGCCTGTGGAGAGATCACTCTGTTGACCTCTGACAGAAATACCACCTGTGGGCAACCACACAGCAGTTGCTTAATTAAGCAAATCTCCACCTGCGGAGCCGTTTCTGATGGGAAATGAAGACCCCCCATTTGAAAATGCTACGGGCACTAGAGGAGCAAAATGTAATTATCCGCACCGAAGTCCAGCTGACATCTCTGACAATGACTTCAGGGAGATCTTTAGGGATCGGCTGTTCCATCTGAGGCTGAGTCCTTTGGCGTTAGAGTCCTCTACTCTTCTTTCCTCCTCACAAGGTGGAGAAATACCTCACACTGTGTCCAGAACCACTTGATTAGGCTGCCAATTCCTGCTGGCGTGAGGAGGCCGAGGGCTACACAGCAGAGTAATTGAGACAAGTATCCAAATATTTTAATATAAGTAAATTTTTATTCTTTCCAAATCCAAAGGATTATATATTTATAGAAGCTAGAATTCTACCCTGTCCCCTGTCCTATTCCAGGCAAAACCAGTTTTGCTTGTTTTTTTGAAGTATGCATTTAGAGAGAGATATAACACATTGGTCTTCTAAAGCAGCCAATAAAGACCTTTGTTTAAATTGTGTCTCATGTAAATTAATCTTTGAGGAAAGCATTCGTGAGCCTTTTAGCCATCGGTTGCTGCTGTTTTTACAAGTGGAAACAAAGTGAACAGATCAAAACCAGGATATGATGGAGACTGCACCAATGTTTGCTCTTAGAGGTTTCAGTACCTCAATTGACATTAGTAACCACAATCACTAACACGGAATTTTTGCCTTAAGAAAAGAAACTTTGGAACTTTGTAAGTATATTAAAACTAGATGAAGAAAATATCTCCCCACTCAACTGTCATTTAATGTCAGGGATGTTTCCTACCAGTTTATATGATATTGCACAGTTCTTCATTTTAATTCTAAACATCTCACTTGGTATATGCTACAGTACCTTCCTGTGGGAGGATCTTTTATAATCAGTCTTGGCTGTTAGAATCTTTTGTTAGTACTTCACTTAACTCAGTTTTTCCTCTGTTTAGATTCATGCGATTACTCTTAATTAAGTTGCATTGGACTTCTCTAAACAATTCCTTTCTTTACCCTTAGGTCATCATAGGAAAAAACATACTGACTGAAAGTTTTGTAGTTTCCCCTTTTTTCACTTTATTTACTTTGAATCATTCCCCTGCTGCTCCTTGAAAGGCAGCAGTATCAGTACAGTTTTGTGCCCGTTATCCCAGCATAAGTCTTTCAGTTCACGCCAGTGAACTGAATGTTAATGGTGTCATTATTGTCCTAGTTAGCTTCAGCTGTCAATTTGACATAGAGTCATCTGCAGGAGTCCTAATTGAGGGATTGCCAGATCAGACTGGCATAGGGCCATGTCTGTGAGAAACTGTTTTGATGGATGAAATGTGTGAGGGCCTACCCCACTGTGGGCAGCAGCATCCCTAGGCAGGTGAGCTTGAACTGTGTAAGAAAGCTAGCTGAGCATGAGTCAGTGAGCAAGCAGCAAGCATCATTCCTCCAGGTTCTGCCTTGACTTCCACTGATAATGGATTGTGACATGGAAGTATAAGCCAAATAAACCTTTTCCTCCCCTAGTTGTTTTTGGTCAGTGTTTTATCATAACAGCAAAAAGCAGAGGAGAACACTTATCTTGTTTAAAACACTGATTAGAGATCAGTTGATAAAGTTCTTGCCACCCAAGAATGAGGACATCAAACCACTCCCCAGAGCCCAGTATAAAGACAAGCATGACAGGATGCACCTATAATCCCAGAGCTGTGGAGGAAGCTATAGCAGATGCCCTGGAGCTTGCTGGCTAGCTAATCTACCAGAATCAGTGACGCCCAGGTTCAGTGAGAGACCTGTCTCAAAAAACAAGGTGAGGAGCAATTAAGGAAGATACCTGATGTCAACTATGGCGTCCATTTACACATGCACACACCTGCACACACCTGTGCACATGTACTAGAACCGATACACACATACACTCGAAATAAAAAGTCAAAAAAAAACTTGGAACCCAAAACCTCAGAGTCATTCATAGCCAGAATCTCCTTGATCTTCTGTCCATCACTTCTAACCAACTGCAGATTCTGACTTGGTTTTACAAAATTATTCCCGCCCCCGTGTTTCTGAGACTATAGCTATCAATAAATTTCCTCTCTACTTGCCTGAATTTCTGAAATTAAAGGAACTTGTGTTTGGGAATAAATATGTATAAACTATTCACAATGATGAACAAATCTAAAAAGGCCACAGACTTGAGTCTGTGAGTGTTCAGCCATAGATGGGCCATGTCCACTGATCCCCCCCACGAGGACCCAGGGAACATTAAGGGAAAGGAGGAAGAATGATCTATGAAAGGGCTAAGGACAGGGCAGAATGCCTTGAAATGCACTTCTCTGGACATGACATGACTGTTGCACACATGAACTCACAGCAAGAGTGGTTACCTGTGCAAGATTGCACAAGATCAAACCAGTTAAAAAATCTAGTATGGGATTAGAGAGATGACTCAGTGGTTAAGAGCACTGGCTGCTCTTGCGAAGGACCCAGGCTGGTATTCCAGCTCCCACATGGTGGCTAACAACCATTCATAACTCCAGCTCCAGGGGATCTGATGCCCTCTTCCGTCCTCCAAGGATACTTCATGATGTGGGTGCACTTACATACATGCAAGCATAACACTCATATACATAAAATAAAAATAAATATTTTTTTTTGAATTCCAATATGGATGGGAAAGGAGTTCCTAAGGCTCAACCTCTAGCTGAGGAGCTATTAACAGTTGATGGATTGATGGTTGCTACGGGAGGGAGAGTTACTTTACCTTAAGGAATGGACACTAGCAAGTTACCTATGTCCCAGTGGGTAGTCCGACAGCCATAAGCATATGGGCAGCACTGATTGGACACAGTGGGCCATTTTTAAAAAGAGGACTTGAAATAGAAAGAAAGAGAGATGGGGGAGGCAGGAGGAGTTGAAGAGAAGGAGTAAGGGTGGATATGTACATCTATGAAATTTTCAAAGAATGAACAAGTCTTTAAAAATTAAGATTCTGCCGGGCATGGTGGCGCACGCCTTTAATCCCAGCACACAGGAGGCAGAGGCAGGCAGATCTCTGTGAGTTCAAGGCCAGCCTGGTCTACATAGTGAGTTCCAGGACAGCTGGGGCTACAGGGAGACCCTGTCTCAAAAAGACCAAAACAAAAGAATTCAGATCCTGTTGGGTGTGGTGGCGCAGGCCTTAAATCTCAGCACTCGGGAGGCAGAGGCAGGCAGATCTCTGTGAGTTCAAGGCCAGCCTGGTCTACATAGTGAGTTCCAGGACAGCTGAGGCTACAGGGAGACCCTGTCTCAAAAACACCAAAAAAAAAAAAAAGAAAGAAAAAAAAAAGAAGTTCAGATTCTATTAGAAAAATCAACCTTATATAGAAATTATATAATTCACATCAACTTCTAAAATACCATGTACTGGGATTTACCTAGTTCCAATACCTGCTTTCTCTCTATCTCATTCATGGCCCTCTACTGATTTCACCCCTAGTCTGAGAGGAATATTTGTTTAATTGTACCATACTCTATCTCTCTTGTTTTCATTGCAAGACTCTTTGGAAGTTTCCTGAAGTTCAACTGAAGATTTCATCTGGAGTGTCCTGCCACCAGCTCAACTCAACATACCCAACGTAAAGAATGTGTCTGGTTTCCTTCCTAAGTTTCTTTTCTGTTGGTGATAAGTTTTCCCAATCAGTAAGGCTCAAGACTTTAGGAAGGTCTATAGATCAGTCCTCTCCTTCATGCTCCAATTTATCCACTCCTACTCTGTCCAAAGAGTTTCTGATCTATGACTTTGTCTTCATCCCCACTGATGGCATCTCAATCCTCATCTTCAGCACCTCACATCTAGATACTATTTCACAAGAATTCGTTAAGAAAATGCTCACAGTCCATCCTACTTATTTAGATGTTACTTGAACCACAAAGTAAAGATCTTTCTGGATCTTAAATTCAGCTTGCATTCTGGTTGTTTGTTTCTTTGTTTGTTTTAGGCAGAGTCTCCCTAGTCCAACTCACTTGGAAGTCACTATGTGAAGCAGGCTGGCCTTGTTCTCACTGAGATTGGCCTACCTCTGCCTGCAGGGGCTGGGATTAAAGGCATACACCACCACACCAGTGTTCAGCTTCTGTTCTTGCCCTTTCTATATCTGTTCTTTCCCAGGCTGCATTTCCTGTGGACTTAGCAATCTTGCTCAAGTCCAATGACTCTTGGTGTATCAGCATGTGAAAAGGGTGTGTGGACCTGCTGGTCCTTCGGCCTGGAATCTCTCTATTGCTCAGTCTTGTCTAGCAGCTCCTCTGTTCTAGATTTCTGTTCATCTTGCCCCACCCTGCATCATACTCCATGCTGTGTCTCTGTACCTACTGCCTGACCGTGATGCAATTATCCATTTCTATCCTTATTACAGTGAAAAAAAAATTATGGAAAAAATTATCTTATTTTTCATTTTTTTCTTTCTGAACTACTCCCAGAAACTAAAACAGAATAGAATCTGAGTAAATACTTAAATGGATAGATAAATCATGGCTTCTTTTCACTACTTTTTCTTACATGAAGCAATTCCTTTCAATATTCTCATGTTCTACATTGCCCTGGGATTGCTTTCTTTTGTGTCCTTGCAACATAAATATGAGTAACCTCGGAAGAACTTTACAAAAATCAACAAATAGGATAGATAAGAGTTGCTTTTCTTTGTTTAGCTCGTTTTTTCTTCCATTCTTTGACAACTTCATGCATGTACAAACTGAATTTTGATCATTTTCACTCTCCATCATCCTCTGTCATCTGCTCTCTCTCCTGCTGAAGCCCTCTTCTTCCCAGAAACCTCCAGACTGTTTCTTTTGTGTGTGTGACCCATTGAGCTTAATTATGGTTGCTTGCATGAGCATGGGTGGGGGGTTATTTTCTGGAGCTTGGGCAGCTTGCCAATGGCAAACTTTATTCTCTTTTGTATTGCATTCCCTTCACACACCAAGTTGTTGCCACTGTAGGCTTTCAGAACTCCCAAACTCCCAACTGTCCCAAACTCTGTTCCTGTTCATTCCTCTTCTCCCAGATCTACTCCCTCACTGAAGACATACTCTGTCATGCTTTTCTTTTACATGAACACTGAGAAATTTAAGAAACTCATCAAACATGCAAATATATCTTTCTTGCTATCATCTTTGTCTATTGTCAACGTCTCATAATTTCCCTTCCTACTACATAGAGTAAATGATTACGAGCTGGAAAATTAAAATAGTGGTTAATATGAACTACTAGTTTCCTAAGACATATTCACTCTTCATAAATCAATGAGGGAGGTATTATTATTGAAAATCCCCATTATTACTCCAATTGCCTCACCTTGTGTCCCTGTTCGGCATGGAAGAAGCCAGAGTGGTCTGTGTCCCAATTCCTTATTGGCAATTTGGGTAACCACTTCAGAAGATGGTATGATAAGAATAGGAGGTAGGAATTTGCTAGGCAGTTATGGTAAAAAGACCCCAAAGAAAAGTAGCGAGTTTCTTGGCTAAAAGTCACATTGGCTAAAAGGCACATTAATTAATTAATTAATTAAAGAAGAAAGTACATGAAGGTATCAGAAAAATGTGATGGGGAGATATGGGAGAGTTGGAGGGGAGGGAGTGGGCATAGATCTGATCAAAATACCTTACATGCATGTATGAAACTCTCAATAAATTATTTAGCCTTGGAAGACAAATGAAAAATGAGGAAGAACCCAATAGAGGGATGCTTTTGGAAGCCCTTGTCAAGAAATTCCAATGGACTCTCATATGAACATTTGAAAATTGCCCTGTTCTGACTTTTTTCCGGTTCCCTGTCTAGAATTTGCAATGCTAAGTACTCTTGCCTTTACTTCTCCTTCAAATCTCTTATTCACCATTCAAGGACTTTCTTTTCCTCCTCGAGATAAGAGTTATGCAAGTTGGGAGTCTCTTAGATAGACCCACTGAAGGGGTACTCCAATTGCCTCACCCTGCATCCCTGTTCGGCATGGAAAAAGCCAGAGTGGTCTGCATCCCGATTCCCTATTGGCCATTTGGGTAACCTCTTCAGAGGATGGTGTGATAAGAATAGGAGGTGGGAATTGGCTAGGCAGTTAGGGTAAAAAGACCCCAAAGAAAAGTAGCCAGTTTCTTGGCTAAAAGTCAAAATGTCCTTGGGCCTCTTAGCAACATACTCTGTTCCAAAGGCCAAAAATGTCAAAAGTATTTGGGAGCTTGTATCTAATCCTTAAAAGATTTTAAGGTTACCTCTTCAGAGGGGGGGAATGTTAGAGTACCCAAAAGCCCCATTAAAATAAATAAATGAAAGAAAAGAAAAGAAAAGAAAAAGAAAAAAATGATGGGGAGATATGGGAGGTGTTGGAAGGGAGGGAGTGGGCATGGATTTGATCAAAACTCCTTATATGCATGTATGAAATTCTCAATACAGTTTTTGTAAAAGTTAAAAAAAATTATTATTTTTATAAAAAAAACTAAAAGTCCCCATTATGATATGAAATAAATTAGACCAAGCTTAATGCCTAAATTTATGAGAGCAATCTATTGTATACCACTTCCACCACACAATACATTATCTTTTAGGAAAAAGTTACTCCCTTAAGAAGACATTAAAAACTCTCTTTTGGAACCAGGTGTAGGATTAAATGAGTGCATAAATGAATGATTAATTGCAATCATTTTTCATTTTATTAATGGTGTTTAATAACCCAATTCCAGACTAACCCAAGGAAGAGCTGGTTTCCATCCAGACAGTGCATCCTGTGATTAGTGGCTGTTCAGCAGGCAGAGTCTGAGTGACCATGTGCCAAAGATTCAACAGAAGATACTTCTGAACTGCCTGGGAGGCACAGCTCTGAAATCTCCAAGGTCCAGTCAAGATCTTGGGATGTATCCTATGATTTCAGGGGGTTCCTACAGAGCAGAACTCTCAGAATCGTGAATGATTGACTATGGTATATATAAAAAGAAGTAAAAGTGACCCAACTTGGTCTTTCCTTCGCGTTTTCCTGAAAGAGAAACCACCATTCCAGGGTGAATCTGAGACATAATTTGAATATCAACATTTTGAACTCTATCAGCTTTAATTCATTTTTTCCCTTGAAGTTTGCACTTTTTTAGCACTGACTTTTCTCTAGAGTCAGAGAAAATAACAATGGTAAATAATGAGCACTTTGTGTTCCTGGAACCAACTGCCCGATGCTAGAAACTCCGGCTCCAGCATATGCTGAGAAAGCATCAGATGCGAGCCAGCTGAAACAGTATATCCTGGTGCCTCTAAACACAAACTTCATCTTCAGCTAAAACTTGGAAGTAAAAAATAGGAGTTCGGGATTCTCAATAAAAGTCCAAAAACTGCAAGTAAGGAATCTCTGTGCGTGCCATTGCCAGAGGCTTCCCTGCTAGTTAGTCACTAAAACCCTGAGAATAAAAGAGTTTGGGGCGTTAGCTCAGTGGTAGAGCATTTGCCTAGTAAGCACAAGTTCGGCCCCCGGCACCAGAAGTATAAACGAAAGACAAAAAAGTAAATAAATCGTAGATGCTACGGTTTACCCTTCGGATTCTACAGTTGGAACTAATAATCACAACAATGCCTTATGTTTATTTGGTCATTATTTGTGGTGTCCGGATGCCCAGTTCCAATCATAGATTGTTTGGATAAATGAGATTGCATGTTCCCACCTTGGGATGTGCAGAAGAGATGATAAAGGCAATGGAAATCGTACAGATCACTGGGAGACCTGAAAAGAGAAATGGGACCCTCCACTCACTCGCTAAGCTCCTTAACAGAGAAATTTAGTAAAACTGTCAGGAAAACAGAACTAAGTGCTAAGGAGCCTTGAGAATTTTAAGAAATAAACAGTGGTTCTCAGAGTCACAGGAAAAGAAATTAGGTCCACTCCCATAGAAATTAAATGGGGAAACAATGCAATTACAAATTGAGGCAGAAAGCATGCTTCTTGGAATTTTGCTAGGGCTTGCTGCCATCAGATGAGCTAGGGTGGACCAGAGAACCGGTCTCCAAGTACAGCCATGGATCTCCAGCATTAGAATTGCTGGGTGATTTTGTTTTGTAAGAAATCAGAAAGCAAACACATGCCAATTTCTGAAGCTGAGGTCGGATCCAAAGAACAAATATTTCTGGATGCTCAACCAATGCACATTTCATTACATTCTCCCAGTGATTCTCATTCACACTAGACCTTGAAATCTTTGGGATTTGAATGCCGTTTTTAATTAACTAATATTTTTTAGTGAAATCAGAAAGGAGAGATCATGGTTTGTTTTGAATATGGTACAAGAAAGATGAATCAACTTCACTTTTAGAAAATAGAATGCAAACTTAGGAAAAGGAAAAAACATTGTGGAAACTAAAGGAGGGAGCTAGAACCCAGTTCCTCCTTTTTTTTTTTTTTTCCTTTTACTCTGAGAACAAAAATTAGAAGCTGTATGAAAAAATCAGCCAACTAGCTTGTTTACAAAACATTGCTGTTCCTGTGTCTTTAAAGGATTTTTTTTCTCCCACTTTACCACAGTTTCTATACCCAAGGCCACTTTGTTATCTGGTTCTTTTCCACTTTGTGGTGTCTGTAAAACTGGTAACAACCCAGAGCTAATCCTAGGCAAATGTATGAAATGGCAGAGCTTTCCCTAACAGGAATTGAGCGGTTACATTAGCTCTCTGTGGCTGCCACAACAAATTACCACAGACTGAGTGGTTTAAGAAAACATATGTGCGTTGTGTGAGTTCTGGAGTCCCAAATCAAGATGCTGACAGAGTGAGCCCCCTCCAGAGGCTCGGGGAATAAGCGGTTCCATAGGTCCTGTGGCTTCCAGTGATGGCTAGCAATCCTTGGTATTCTTCAGTTTGCTGATAAATCTCTGCCATCTATGGCTCCATCTTCACATGCAAATCTGGTTCTAAGTCTGTCCAAATTTCTCTTTTCTTGTTAGGAACCAGTCATTGCACTTGATCCAGTATGACTTCGTGTTAACTTGAGGGCATCCGCAAAAGTGCTATTTCCAAAGGAGATTACATTCACAAGGTAGGGGCTTAAGATGAGAAAACTCTTGTTTGGGGCAGAAAGAGGAATTTTTCCCTCCTACACAGAGCAAATGTTGAAGAGATGCTAGGAGGCCAATCTGAAGTAGGACTGTCTATGCTTCGCCCCACCTTCCCCTGAGTGTGTCCCTGCTTCTTCTTGTTCTCTAACAAGAATTTTTTTCACTGGATTTAGGCCCCCTCTGTACACTTCAAGCCAATCCTCATCTAGCATTCTCAACAAAAGGTCTGCCCAGATTCTTTCTCCATTAGGGTAACAGTCACAGGCCCAAAGGATTTAGGACATGAACATATTCTTTTGAAGGCCATCATTTAGCCCACAAGAAGTATGGTAGCAATTTAAGACAGGGAAGATTTTCATCTATCTGAAATGGTTTGGGCCTAGTTTTGCCTGACGTAAAGTAGATTAAATTATTCTTCATGGTCAGTTCTAATTAATTTAATTCTATAATTTTATAATTGTGTCAGAGTTTAGCTTTCCAAGATCTTGGTTAAGAGAAGAAAACAATTCCAGGCAAATCTATCACAAGTAAAGTCAAACACAGGTATTCTATTTTCAACTCGATTACATTCACAGAAATGGTTTTAAGTACATTTAACCTGGAATCATAGAGCTATTTTCCTACACTGTCTGATAAACAACCAAGCAAAGGGCTCAGCAGCAATGATGCACTATGTAGAATGTGTCCAAAGAACAGAAGATGGGTGTCCAAATGTAAAGACACTAGACAAAACCTCCACTTCAGAGCATTTCTAGGGCCCAGCCTTAGAACTGGCCAATACTTGAAGTATTCATCAATATCCTGATGGTAACATGTTCAAAAAGTAGCACTTGCAAAATTCTCAGATCTTCAGGATAAAATCATTAAAAAACAAAAATCAGCAGCACATACCCACTTACACAGTGTCGAACTGTGGTCAATTTAACAAAATTTCAGGTGAAATGAGTCACATGTCTATTTCTGTTCCTCATCCTTTGTTTTCTAAACCCGTGAGCGCCAATGCAGAGAGAACAAGAGCATCTACCAAGATGAAGAAAACAAAATCTGTGTAGAGTTTTCAATTCTAAAACAGAAGACAAAACTCCAGCTTCATTTCTATTGAAAAGCAGAGTGGCATCTCTTAGCAACTCATAAAAGTCTGAATGTACATTTTGAGCTCTGCAAGCATAATGTCTTACTAACATAAGTACATAATATTTTTCCCTTTTTAAAAAATATTTCATCTATCATTCCCACTCTACGTGTATGAGTGCACTGCCTGTATATATATATAATACTTTTACCTATGTAGATGTGTAAAAATTTAGCAGCCCTTCATTTCACCAAATTAGAAATAATTTAAAGTGCTGATCTCTAAGTTAATAGTTTTCAGATATCTGAATTCAATCTGGATAATATTGTACAAATTATACTTGTCTGAATGTGGGCATAAATTATAGGAAAAGTCTTAAGACACTCCTTTGGTGTCATAGGCTATATCTGATTCATATATTCAAGAGTTAAGCTGTTCAATGGGATAGTATATAGTATTTATGTAAAATATTCCAACACATTATATCTCTAATAAAATATCTTCCCACCAAAACATCAACAAGAAAATTCTACCCTAAGCTTTTAGTAGTTTGGAAAGTACAGAGGAAAAATAATAATAATATCAAAGTCAGAGATTTATTGAGTATTCATAAAAAGTTTCCATTTATTAATTTTGTATACATGGCATGCTGCAATTTAAATACTGCAGTGTAAAACACAGGGGTTACTAGATCCATATGGGGCATGAAGACACTTTCCCTCACTGACATTTCTTTTTTTCTTTTTTAAACTTTATTACTTTTATTTTATGTGTATGCATAAAATAGGACCCATGTCCTACAATGCCTGCTGAAGACAGAGAGACTATCGGATCCCCTGGAACAGTAGTTTACGGACAGTTGTTAGCCACCGTGTGGGTGCTGGGATTCAAATCTGGGTCTTCTGCAAGAACAGTCAGTGTTCTTAATCACTGAGCCATCTCTGCAGTCCCATGACATTTCAAAGTCACTGGAGAAGCATATGAGTTATGGAGAGATTTGTTCTAAAAGTTAACCAGTGACTTTTATGAACAGAGACTGTCTTTCACTTGCCTTAAAGTTCACTAAAATAATATTTCTCTGCTGTTATGTTAAACATATTGAAGAGCCATATGCCGCTTGCTGGGAGGTCATGGACATTTCGTTTCTAACTAATTCAAATATAGTCGTGGAAGAAATAATTTGTGCCTTTTCCTTGCTATCATGTTTCTGTGCTTTTTTATTGAGATTTGTTATTTATGTGTATACTTATGCGCATGTGTGTCTGTGTGTATGTGCACATATGTGCAAGTACCTAGAGGGGCCAGAAGAAGGTATCAGATTTCTTGGAGCTGAAGTTACAGGAGGCTGTGAGCAACCCCAACTTGTGTGTTGGGAACTGAACTCTGGTCCTCTAAGAGTACTCTGAACCACTGAGCCATCTCCTGTGCCCCACCCCCAGCACACACATATGTACACTCTTTCAGTGCAAAATACTTTTTTGCACTGTGTAAACTGCCTCCCGCTTTTCTGGGGACTGTTGTCAGTCAAAAGAATCACCTTCCTCTTCTGCAGGAGTAGGCATACGACAGGTTATTCAGAGTCCTCCAAATCTGGAGATACATTCATGAGCTAACAATGGACAGAAGGCCTCTTGTGGGATTGTTGTAAATGTAAGTGCTACTGGAATTAAAGGGGGAAGTGATTTGATTCCCTTTATTCTCTTTTGAGATCATTGGTATCGAAGACAAGACGAGCCTCCTGATACAGATCCATGTTTTGTCACCAAGGGGAAAAACCTGCTGGAAAACAAAATCTACACAGAGGAAAGAAGAGCTACGTACACAATAAAGGTTTGTGTACTTTTGTACGTGTTCTTTCCTGTTGTGTGGAGACAATAAAGCACCCTGGCGGTTTGGTTTCTATCAGTTACAACTGAAGAAGTCCTTAGAACACAAAGGCTGGTACTAGAATACATTCAGATTATTACTATAACGATTCCACTTACACTTTCTGGATATCTTTTTGAGTGGCAAAAAGATAAATCTCCAAACAACCTGAAATCAATCACATGACCACGCAACACTCACTGAAATGTGTCAACTGTGTGAACACTATCCAATGTGTCATATACGGGGGGCGGGGGGGAGACAGGGAGCAGGGGGGGGGGGAGAGAGAGGGAGAGAGAGAGAGAGAGAGAGAGAGAGAGAGACATCTCCCTACTGGAACTGGAACTCACAGAGTCCTCTATAAGGAAGTTGTTTATTCAACAAACAAAACTAACAACAGGATAATTGCATTTCCTTCTCTAACACCTACTCACTGGATAACATACTTCTATCCTAGCATCTTTTGTTTTCTTCCATATAATTTCTTGCTGTCCAATATAGCATTTTAAGATTGTACAATATCAAAAACCAATGAGTACAAACTGGGCTATAATATTCTGTGACTTAGTGTTTACGTACTGCAGATGATCAAATGAAAATAACCATTGATCCAAAAAAAAAAAAAAATCAAACTTTTTTCAAGCCCTTAATCAAAGTAAAATATTTTTCTAAATCAACTGAGTAAGCACTTTCCTTTGAAGGAGGCCAACAAAAGTTTTCTCCTTTTTTCTATGTATTATCTATTACTGGCATTTCTTGAAGAATGAGGTCCAAGGGGAGTTCTTGTTTAAAAGTAAAAGGTACAAAGTCAAATCCTTTTCAGGTCTTTCTCAGTTGTAAAAGCTGATTCTTCTATTAACCTCTTTCTCTCTGCTATGATGTATTATTAAAAATGGAAGGGCATTGTTGATGGTGTATATTGTATAATAGCATTGTGGGGTGCCATTTATTTTTCTTTAAGGAGAGTTTATTTCATCTTGGGCCAACTTGGAAAGCTTTTGAGAAGCCATGAGCATGTTGACTTTCTTCATATTAGATAAAAGGAAGGACATTGCTGGTTCATTGATCTGGAGTTGCTCAAAGAGTGAGTGGGGGAAGGGAGAGGATCTTCCCTTGGTAGAGAGTAATTTTTGCATCATGTCGACATCTTCAAGAGCTGCAGAGGCCTTTTGAAATTGAGAATGTCAGCAGGAAATTTTCACCTTTTTTGAGATGTAAACTGGTAAGCTGAAGACAAATTTCTATCAGAACATAAAAAGGAATAAGATAAAAATAAAGTTTAAGGTAAACTATAAATGTCAATGTATTCTAAAACTGCAAATAGTGAAGCCTGAATTTAAAACATACCAGTTACTTGAATATCTCTGATTGCGTATTTATACTTCATGGTGCAGGTTAACAGTGAGCACTATTTACTTATGAGTGCTGTGTATATGGCTCACAGGAAATACTTTCCTAGCAAACTTTTTATTTGCATGACCAGACAACAAAGATTTTCAGCTCTCTGGCTTGTCTAGTCACTCTAAATTCTGCCTTTGCAACATAAAAGCATCCATGGATGAAACAAAAACAAATGTGTGTTCCAATAAAACTTTAAAAAATTAAGTAGTAGACTGAATTGGGCCCTCAGGCTGTAGTGCACAATGAACCCCTTCCCTCCTCAAAGTAATATGGGCTTCTGATAACGGGATGATTGATAGTAAATGAAACATTTCCCTAAAAATCAGATGAGCTCTCTGTATAACTTTACCAATAACATGCCAATCAACATTTTCTAAAGGGTGTTCACCTGTGGTTACATTTCCTAGGTGAAGCACTCAGAAAATGTTTTCAGAGAAGAAAATAAAGAGGATTGTCAGTAGCAGAGGGTTCAGGCTCATCCTCTGATTTGAAGCAGACCAGCTTTGCTTTTGTCCACTTAAGATATCTGAGTTGTACAAAGTTGCATTTAGTAAAAGATTCTCCTTTTTCGTTTAGAAAAGTACCAAGAAATCACAATAAACCAATTACTGAATAAATCAGATCAGGTTCTAGTTGTCACTTAAGATCATACATATGTCTTAAGATCACAGAGACTGGTGCTTTAAATGTAGTGTGAGTCTTGTGTATAGGAAATCATAAAAAGTATCTACTTAAAATTAAATGATGACTGCTTAGATGTCTTAATTAATAGAATTCTAGAGAACTAAAAAATAACAACAGGAAACAAGGACACACTTGAAAATGCTTGAATATAGCAGCTTGGCAGGGAGAGGGCTGCACCTTGAGATTTTTCAAAAGTTGCCCCCCACTGATTCAGATGACAGCAGGCATCATGGAACAAAGGAAACAGCTTTTCAGCATTGCTCAGATCATATGTGACAGCCATAATTGAGTGAGCCAACAGACTGCTGAGAAGAACGTAATGGGCCATGCGGATAGAAAGAGCCAAGCAAGTACTCAGATGATTCTGGCAGACAGTGATACAAAACTGGTAGGTGTACTCTGAGCTCCAAACATTCTTCCAGTCCATAGAAGGAAGCTTCCAGCATGTTGACAGGTCTGAAAACTGTAATCATTGCCCAAATGTCACAAAACACCAAGAATTTAGAATTTAGGATGCAGATTATCCCACTGGGCACACCAAAGGAACTGACAAGAAATAAGGGGCAAATATTACATGACAAGAAGTAAGATTGTTTGGTCCCAGAAATCATGAACTGTGTCAGATTATGTTGTTCTTCCTGGAAATAGGGTTCTACTCAGTTGGTTAAATTTAAAACTCCTTTTATCTCAAGAGATGCATAAGAAAATCAAAAAGTGCAGACACAATGTCTCTGATGAGTCATGGCAGTGGGGTAGGCTACAGCCTTCATCCAGTACACTAGATGTGAGCCTCAGTTACGTTGTTTCAAGTGAATGGCATTCTGAGTTCTTATAATCTAGAGAGGAAGGACCGCTATAAATATAATTTATAGACTCGAAGAGATTATTGTCTAATACTCTAAATTAATAGTAATGATATTTGGACATTAGAATGAATGTATTTTATTCATGCATATTAACTGTACAAAACAGTAGTTTTATTAGGACATTTCATATAGGTATACAACATACTTTGATTATATCAACTCCCTCTCTTACTTTCACTCCCACAACTACATCAATATTAGCTACCGTTAACAAAATGCATTTGCATGCACACACACACACACACACACACACACACACACACACAATTGAAAGCAAGTTTTCCATCCTTTCTCTTTTCATGCCATCTTTAGTATTTCAGTGATATTTTTCACAAGAATCCCTAGACTAAAAAAGGTCTAGTAATTTTATTTATTGACAACTGAAGAATCACCAAATACCCAGATTTACAACGATATGAAGACCATAGCATGATGTGATACCTATACTGTGAATGACCCCAGGCTCCATGCAGCAGGTACTGAGTACTGCCATCTTCCCTTGAGAACTTACACTACTCACCCCATTCCTGTAAGTTTACTGCAACCTGGCATGCCTCAGAACCCTGGTGTAGAGCAAAGCTAGGTTCTAAAATATATGACTCTCCCATCCCTGTGTAGTCACACAGTAGGCAGTATTTTAATTTTCTCTATCTCTGCACAATCTAAAATTTACTATTTCTTGTTTAAGAAACAATTTTTTTAATTTGTTTGATTTAATTACATGGATGAATATTTTGCCTGCATGTATGTAAGTGCACTACATATGTGCAATGCCTTAGAGGCCAGAAGAAGGCATCAGATCTCCTGGGACCAGAGTTAAGTCTGGTTGTTAGCCACCATGTGGGGTCTGGGAACCAAACCTAGGTAGGTCCTTTGCAAGAGCAGCCAGTGCTGTTAGCTGCTGAGCCAGCTCTCCAGTCCCTCAAAACAAAACTGATTTGTAACTAAATTTACTTTGAGTTTTCAAAAAGAATCAATTTCTGTCTTACTGTTTAAGACTCTACTTCAGTGGGAAAGTCTCCATTACCTACACAAGACTTATTTGGTAAAAAACTGCATTTGTCCTTACAAGGTCAGAATTAATCATTGTTATTTTGCCCCACAAACAAAGCCAAAGAAACAGACATAACATGTTTTCCCCATCTCAACTACATTTCTTCATTGAAAAGATCTAGATCATTAACCTTGATTCATAGAGACTTTACATAAGTAACCTGTTGTTCACACAGAGTTTTGACACAGGGTTTAACACATGTAATACTTCAACAACTCTCACATACAGAGATAATGATTTCCTCTAGACCCATGCTCCTTGTATTGGAAAAAAACCAAAGTTTTTTTTTTTTTT